AAAAATTATATAAACACCTTAAATAAATATTTAAACAGCTTTGAAAAAGTACTAAAGTTTGTAGCTCAGCATTCGGCTTCATATAAATCAACTACTCTCATGAGAGTAGTTGAAACGATATATACACTTTATACTTGACATAATCATGACCATACAAAGGTAAGAATCTGTAGAGCAGTTGTGCTAAACTATAAAAAATTAATAAAGATGTCTTCTCATTAGCAAACTAAAAGTACATAAAAAAATGCTTTTCTACTCTGGGCGTTTATTTTTAACATTTGGACCTTTACTGTACCCAGCGAGAAGAAACAGTATCCGCCATGATGCGCATCCGGCCATGGCGATCGCAACGATGTCTCAGAGACGTACACAAGTAATATAAACAAGTATTAATTATAATGATGCATATAAAAGCAAAACTTACTTAAGTATTCAATCGTACTTGATAACTTGCACCGTTATTGCTCCGAAAATTCGAGGTTTTTTAAATTTTCTAGTTAATATTTAGTACGTTTAAATTGAGGAATTTATTACAGAAATAAGGAGGTTTAGCGCCGAGAAATTTAAATGTGTTTTTTTAATTGTAAGTTATATGTCTAAAGTAAATTAGATAATGAGTTTTCATTATTTTATGATTTCTGATAATTCATTTTTTTTTTAAAGTAATTGCAAAATTTACTTTTTTTCATTTTTGATGAGAAAAGCTCTTGGTAGCTCCATAACTTTCGCGCAAAAGACGCTAGCGTCAATAAGATGATTTTTTAATATTTGTAAATTTATTATTGCAATTTAGTGATAAAATAAGAGAGATAGCCAAAAAAATTTGACCGAAAATCTCCTTTGTGAAGATTATTATTGACTATTTCACAGACCGTTCACAATTTTGTGATTATATATCAGAACATTATTGTCAATGTAACTCGTTATTTTCACCAATAATTTGGGCCTTATTTGACAGCGGTACTCAATGACATCACAAATAATTATAAATTCTTTCAAACACTTTTTAATCCGATATTTTACAAATAAATCAAAAATGTGTTTTTGTTTGTTGACGCAGTCAAAGCTATGTAAAGTATACGTTCATATGAATAGTAATTAAAAAAAAAAGCCCAAAAGATCCAAAAAAAAAAAAATTACTCACAGAGAATTTTGTGTCATCACAAGCCGAATGCATGTATAGCTTTCAATTCCCTAATTATGTTTTAATAGCAGGAAACTAATTTAACTATAATTTCTAATGACTCAGAAATATACCAACTGTAAGAATGACTGTATTGTTAATGTGCCATAAATAAGTTTTTAATGTTTTAAATTTAAAGCTTAGGTAAATTTATATGTATTCTGTGAAGTCCAGTAATTAGAAATTTATCGCTACATATCAGTTTGTTCTAAATTATCTTTTTCTTTTAGGTATGTTTCGAAGGTCGGTTATCTTTTTAATATTTATAGTAATGTTAAAGATTCATTCTTTTGAACAAAGCAATTTTTTGGTATCACTTTTTAAGTATAGTAATTTTACATGATGTTCCTGCGAAACAAAATTTGAATTTCCTTTTTTTGAATAGAGTGAAAATGTAAATTTTGTACTTTTAGAAGAGCAAAACGCCAAATTTACACTATTTAAAAAAATACTAACATTAATATAAAAGAGGAGATTGGAAATTCCTTTTTCTAAAAAAAATACTTTTCGTGATTAACACTTTGAAAAAGTAATAGTAGTTGTCGTCTAAAATGCGCATAAAAAATTGTGTAGGTGGTAGAAGCAATTGACTTTGATATATCTATGAGTTCGTAACCATGGCATATACATGTATATACATTTGAAAAATTAGTTCAGATATTGCACGAATGTTATCTTTGGTGTCCATAAATATCATTATATTATTTATTTCAAAAAATCAAAAGTGTAAGACTATTACTAAAGTGGCACAAAGAAAAATTTTTATAAAAAACATGCAATTCTTCAATAACTTCATAATAAAACATTTAGCTAAAGATTTCTTCGATTACAGACTCTTTGTATAATTTTAAGATTAAAAAAAAACTTTGATGTTAACAATAGCTACTTTTTTCACAATCTTAATAAATTCTCCACCCCCTCCCTGCACACTTCGCTTGAGTGCCAACCCCCAGGTATAAATAGAAAAATCTCGACAGTAGTGTGGGTAGTCATTAGGGACTTAACTATCAGGGGAGGGTCTAGAAAAATAAGTGGGGGTTGTTGGGAGTGGTGGGGTCTGGACAAAAAATGTTATGAGTCGAAATAAAAAAAAAAAAAACTCTATTTTACCTTATTTTTTTGGGGGTATCATGTTAATGTTTATGTTAAATGCCCTACGTAAACAACTATATAATGTTAAAATAGGTATACATGTTATTTACAGTTTTACAGTAATAAGAAGTTAAATACACAGATATGCAAGATTGTTTTCAGTAGACGATAAAAACCAAGTCAAGTTACTAAAGTCAGGGAGATTGGTTTTATAAAAAATATCGATAATATAAAATCGTTTTGCTATTTGAAAAGTAAGTATGACATGAACACAGCGACATAAAAAAAGCAAATTAAGCTACTTTAGAGCACATATTGATTTTAATGGTTGTAAAGGGATAAAAAATTTAAGACAATTTTTTAGCAGCCCGCTTTTTGGTTGCTGATTGGAATAAAAGAATTTTTTGTTACAAGTTTTAAATCAACACAAATCATTTTATTTTCCAAGGACAGTCATAAAATCAAGTGTATTCTCACGTGCTACGCTGAAGAATTTAAAAAAAAAACTATTTGATCCTAAAGATTTTATTCGGCAGCAAACATATTGAGCTTAAATTTTTTTTGCAAAAATAAATCCTTTCTTTCATCGAATTATACCCTGTCCACGTAAAACACTACTTCTTTCGACGCATTTGTAATTTTTCAGGTTCATTTTTGCTCGTTAGCAACTTTAAATTTCAGGAATCGTCAAAGAAAGTAACGCATAACGTTTTCATTCTTATTACCAAGATCGATGCAGTCAAACGCTAATATATTTGTACCATCACTCATACAGAAATCAGCATGTTTACAAAGATAAACTCCAACCCTCGGCACGGGTTAGTCATTAACATTTGCGATGACCTAATTAATAGCTTTATAATTGCTTTTTAACTGATTCATAAGAAGGAAGGGCTTGAGGCCTCTCAGTCAGTAAGTACTGCAAAGGGATATAACTCCTTTGGAAAAGGAGCATGAGTCTAGTGTGTGTGACGAATTCCAACTGAAACGTTTCAAAAGTATCTATCATCGTGTGTGCAAATATAGTGAAAGAGTTCTTGTCAAACCTTTGCTGAAACCACATTGGAAAATACTCTAGGAGAAGAAGATACACTTTTTTCTTAAAACAGAATGGAATTGCAGTATAAAGAAGTGTTTCATGCCGCTCAGGAACAAAGGCCTCAGAATCAGGTGGAAAAAAGTAAGCATTCCATTGACATGTTTATCATGTTACAAATTTTTCAATGCATTTAATATAATACGTGTCTTCATATTTTCCAGACCAATTAAATAGGAAACAAAAGAGGACGTCTTATAGCTTAGCGCAGATTGTGGAGCTCAAAAGAGTATTTGACACGAATAATTACTTGTCCCTGGCTGGCCGATTACGTTTGGCGAAAGAGATGAATCTCACGAAATATTAAGTGACAATATGGTTTTAAAATCGCCGAATGAAATTGAAGAAACAAAATAGAGACTGTTATGATAGTGGAAACATCGTAAAAAAAGCACGGGGAACTTAAAAGATACTTGATCCAGTAGAATTTGTAAGCAGCTACAAATCCTTGCGTGCCCAGTCTCTATTGTTTGAACAGCAACATTCGTATCCCTCACGATATCAGCCAATGTTTACACCGAATCAGCAGGGACAACAACCTCGGATGTCTCCAAATCCAATCTATGGTTACGGAATCCAGCAGCAACCATTTTTGCGTCAATGTGATTTAGGTGCACAACAACTCGAAGTTGCAGAGCAGATGTCATACCTGACAAGCTCTAGAGCTATAGCTACTTCAACTTCGACCGACGAGGTTCACCATAATTTGTCTGTTGCTGCTCATTACTCCAGGTAAAACAAATTTTTATTATTTATTTACTCTATAAACTTCTCCAAAGAAGAAAGCTCTGAAGTTACAATTATTTAATTTCCACGCTTATTCTCGGCTTTAAACTTTACGACGTTGTCTTATTTACGGAAGTTTTTCTCTAATATAATATTCTAACTGTTGCCCAACGTGGTGATTGTAATCATGAAATAATGCCAATAACACGACCATAGTTGGCGCTAAAAATATTTTCTCTCTTCAACGTGCCTGTACCAAATTCTTCACATGTCAACATCCATTGTTTAGTTTTAGAAATGTTAAAAAGGACGAGCATTAATTTCAATTTTTTTTTTTTTTATAGCAGTATCGAAGGTAATCAAGTAAACTACACCAACAACTATAGTTGCCAAAATAATGTACTTCAACAAGAGCAAAAAATTCAAGTGCAGCAGCAACAGCAACAGATTTCGCAGCAACTTCTCTCGCTGCCAGAATCACAGCAAAATGAGCAACCCCAATCAACGCTACAACATCTGCAACAAGAGAAACGATCTCTGCTGGATACATTTCTTGACAGTTTTACGTGCACAGTGTATGACGACCCACTCGAGGATTTTATTGTTAAATTACCCAGTGGTGAAATTTGTAACCAGGATGACTTTTAGAAGAAAATGTGTAATTTTTTCAACATTACGGATTCTCCAAATGCTTGAACAGGACATACAACTAACAGAACAGTTGGCAAATACGTTTATTAAAAAGAAAAAAAATTTGTTGTTATTTATTAAAAAAATAAAAAATAAAAAAAAAGAAATAACAGTAGTAGTTAGTTTTTCTCCTCTAAGCTACCTCTAACTAATTTTATAATGCAATAATTAAAAAAAAACCTCTAAATAAAATTTANAATAATTTGTGATCTCTTAGCAAGGTAAAAAGTTAGTTATGTTTCCAAAAACTAAAAATGACTGGCTATATATTATATTGTTCTCGAATTTCGCGGCTGGATCTGGAGCTAAGGACGATCTGGTGTTGGGCAGTATGGAAAGTTAGAATAAAAACTAGGGTAAGGGTGGAAAAATGGAATAAAAAATGTTAATAGTTAAGAAAATTTGAACAATGATTATGGGTTTATTTGAATAATGGGAGATAGGGTGAAAGAGAGAAAGTGCTTTTTTCCTCTAAGAAATTGATAAATGTAAATGATAGTAAAATTTTGTAGTACCTGGAGTGATTATCAGCAACATAAAAATTATGATAAATCTTGTTGATCAAAGATAAAGATTCCATGAATTTAGAACATGTCAGGTATGACATCTGCTCTGCAACTTCGAGTTGTTGTGCACCAAAATCACATTGACGCAAAAATGGTCGCTGCTGGATTCCGTAACCATAGATTGGATTTGGAGACAACCGAGATTGTTGTCCTTGCTGATTCAGTGTAAACATTGGCTAATATTGTTAGGAATACGAATGTTGCTGATCAAACAATAGAAACTGGGCACGCAAGAATTCGTAGCTGCTCACAGATTCTACTGAATCAAAAAGATACTTGATACTTCCCGTGCTTTTTTTACGATGTTTCCACTATCGGGACAGTCTCTATTTAGTTTCTTGAATTTCATTCGGCGATTTTGGAACCATATTGTCACTTGATATTCCGTGAGATTCATCTTTTTCGCCAAACGTAATCGGCCAGCCAGGGACAAGTAATTATTCGTGTCAAATACTCTTTTGAGCTCCACAATCTGCGCTGAGCTATAAGACGTCCTCTTTCGTTTCCTATTTAATTGGTCTGGAAAATATAAAGACACGTATTATTTTGAATGCATTGACAAATTTGTAACATGATAAACATGTCAATGGAATGCTTACTTTTTTCCACCTGATTCTGAGGCCTTTGTTCCTGAGCGGCATTGAACACTTCTTCATACTGCAATTCCATTTTGTTTTAAGAAAAAAGTGTATTTTCTTCTCCTAGAGTATCCTCCAATATGGTTTCAGCAAAGGTTTGACGAGAACATTTTCACTATATTTGCACACACGATGATAGATACTTTTGAAACGTTTCAGTTGGAATCCGTCACACACACTAGACTCATGCTCCTATTCCAAAGGAGTTATATCCCTTTGCAGTACTTACTGACTAAGGGGCCTCAAGCCCTTCCTTCTAATCAATCAGTTAAAAAGCAATTATAAAGCTATTAATTAGGTCATCGCAAATGTTAATGACTAACCCGTGCCGAGGGTTGGAGTTTATCTTTGTAAACATGCTGATTTCTGTATGAGTGATGGTACAAATATATTAGCGCTTACAACAAAAATACAAATAAACAAATGGTTTAGAGAAACACAGCATTTATAACTTACAAAAGAAAAAAAGTCTGTCACTCTTCGTTCTTCCCTTATCCAAGGCAGTCTACCAAGAGGGTTACAGCGATAAAAAAAGTTTCGACCGATGTTTACGGTAAAATGGCTGCTAGCTACATAGCTTTTCTAAAATTAAAACGTGAAACTAAATGTTTATTCCCAACAACGACCTCAAACATTTCTAAAGCAACTGTTTAAAAAACCGAGCAAAGATTCGAGCTGAATTTAAAAGTTACAGCGATAGTTATTTAGATAAGACATTTAAGTAAAGCTGACAGCTTGTGCAACGTCATTCGAGTAAAGATTACTAAATAAATCAATTATATATTTCAACTACAACTATTACTCAAGAAAAACTTGTAAACAAAGTCTTCATACTGAAAAGCACTTTAACAACATGTAATACCTTCTCGTTATATTTCATTATCAAAAAAACCAATTTCTTTTTGTTTGAACATTCTCTTCGGCAATTCACAAACCCCAAGGACAAAGTTCCAATACTGTAGACTCATACTTAAAGTACATCAACATCATTTAACATTAGTTTTCGTACCTACCTTCGTAAAGCGCTCAAGTTACGTCTGCTACCTGACTTAAAAAAAAACTATATTAATTACTGGAGCCACTTCGCCCACCTCATAATTTTTCGTACCCCTCTCCAGCCCCCTCCATCAGGCTATTCACCATAATTTAATTATGTCTAAAAAATTTTAATTTACATTTAGTTGTTTTTATTTAGTCTTTCACATATTTGATTAACATATTTAGTAAAATACAATAGATGTGATGATTACAAGTATATAAATAAAAATAAATAAAAACATTTTAGTTTGTTTAGTATTAAAAACATTATTAGAAAAAGTAGAAGCAATTAAATAATACTTGTAAGGACTTGCTTATATAATTAACAAGTTCATCTTTCTGTATATATGTAGTTATTACGTTTTCAAGAATTAAATAATTATTGAGGATTTCGCACTAAATGTTAATTTTAAGTTTTAAGACTTTTTAAGTCCCTCATATCCAAATAAATAATATATATAAATAGTATAAAATCGTTTACAATATATAGAATTCCCTTGACCGATTTTGATATACCTTGCTTGATAACTTTTGTATCAGAAAACTCCTAACTTTTTCTAGAATTTTAAAACAATTCAAACAATAGTAACAGAAAAAAATGTATTGCAAATTTTTATTTTTATTACTTCCAGTGAAAAATAAAAAGTAGTATGATAATAGCAACCTTATCCGTGACAACAACCATCGTATCGATTGAAAGATTCAAAAATTATATAAACACCTTAAATAAATATTTAAACAGCTTTGAAAAAGTACTAAAGTTTGTAGCTCAGCATTCGGCTTCATATAAATCAACTACTCTCATGAGAGTAGTTGAAACGATATATACACTTTATACTTGACATAATCATGACCATACAAAGGTAAGAATCTGTAGAGCAGTTGTGCTAAACTATAAAAAATTAATAAAGATGTCTTCTCATTAGCAAACTAAAAGTACATAAAAAAATGCTTTTCTACTCTGGGCGTTTATTTTTAACATTTGGACCTTTACTGTACCCAGCGAGAAGAAACAGTATCCGCCATGATGCGCATCCGGCCATGGCGATCGCAACGATGTCTCAGAGACGTACACAAGTAATATAAACAAGTATTAATTATAATGATGCATATAAAAGCAAAACTTACTTAAGTATTCAATCGTACTTGATAACTTGCACCGTTATTGCTCCGAAAATTCGAGGTTTTTTAAATTTTCTAGTTAATATTTAGTACGTTTAAATTGAGGAATTTATTACAGAAATAAGGAGGTTTAGCGCCGAGAAATTTAAATGTGTTTTTTTAATTGTAAGTTATATGTCTAAAGTAAATTAGATAATGAGTTTTCATTATTTTATGATTTCTGATAATTCATTTTTTTTTTAAAGTAATTGCAAAATTTACTTTTTTTCATTTTTGATGAGAAAAGCTCTTGGTAGCTCCATAACTTTCGCGCAAAAGACGCTAGCGTCAATAAGATGATTTTTTAATATTTGTAAATTTATTATTGCAATTTAGTGATAAAATAAGAGAGATAGCCAAAAAAATTTGACCGAAAATCTCCTTTGTGAAGATTATTATTGACTATTTCACAGACCGTTCACAATTTTGTGATTGTATATAAGAACATTATTGTCAATGTAACTCGTTATTTTCACCAATAATTTGGGCCTTATTTGACAGCGGTACTCAATGACATCACAAATGATTATAAATCCTTTCAAACACTTTTTAATCCGATATTTTACAAATAAATCAATAATGTGTTTTTGTTTGTTGACGCAGTCAAAGCGATGTAAAGTATACGTTCATATGAATAGTAAATAAAAAAAAAGCCCAAAAGATCCAAAAAAAAGAAAAATTACTCACAGAGAATTTTGTGTTATCACAAACCGGTTGCATGTATAGCTTCCAATTCTCTAATTATGTTTTAATAGCTGGAAACTAATTTTACTATAATTTCTAATGACTCACAAATATACCAACTGTAAGAATGACTGTATTGTTAATGTGCCATAAATGAGTTCTTAATGTTTCAAATTTAAAGCTTAGGTATATTTATATGTATTCTGTGAAGTCCAGTAATTAGAAATTTATCACTACATATCAGTTTGTTCTAAATTATCTTTTTCTTTTAAGTATGTTTCGAAGGTCGGTTATCTTTTTAATATTTATAGTAATGTTAAAGATTCATTCTTTTGAACAAAGCAATTTTTTGGTATCACTTTTTAAGTATAGTAATTTTANCAACATAGCTCACTGATACTTTTGATGCCCTCAGTTCATATCGAAAATCACAGGGGTTAATGTAAAAATAATTAAGCTCTTTCGAATTATATTGATGATAAATACTGTTAGTTTTATCAATTTTTTTTTCTAATTTCTCTATTTTTTATGTTATTTTTTGGTGAGCGTTAGATATCATTATTTTTTTGTAAGAAATAAAAAATTCCTGAACTTTATGCTGTGTATAGAAAGTACAAAGTATTTTTTACAGTATACGGTCATGATTTTAAAATATTTTTCACATTATCACTAGTATTTAAGTAGCTATAGTATTAAATTTTTAACTTATAGTAACTTAAAAATTGGTCTCTGCTGTAAGTACTAAAATTTAGAACTTATGGATCTTTTGAAAAAGAAAAATGTATAAAGGAAATTTCTTACTTCGGTACATTCTTCGATGAAAAAAATCGTTTAAAACATGTGTTGTATTCGTGTAATTTCAATGAGCTTTTTATCCATATTATGCCAGGAGTTCAAAAAGTATTCTACATTCAGTAGAGTTTTTACATTTGAGTTAGTATTTCGCACACTAACCTATACGGGGCAATAGCATTGGAAGATTGATGATCCCCAACCACACGTATTAACTATTTTCCTCTCATTAACTCATCTAAACGAATGTTTTTCTTACACATTAAACTTGTTCTTGTTTACTACCTATTTACATTATTTCCCAAAATTTAACGGTAAATTTCATTTAAATATTAACGTAGTAAACATTGTTCTGATGATAAGACCTAAAAACCCATGCAAAGTTGACTAAATGTTTTTTTGATCTTTTTTTGGATTAGAGGGACGTCAAAGTCTTAAAACTTTGCATTAACATTTCTATACATTTTAAGACTAATTCACAAATTTTCTTAAGAAACTGACTGTTAATTCCATACGTTAATTAACCGCAAATTCATAGTTGATAGGTGTACAAGGTGTGCGTGGAGTAACTACATTGACTGTATCGTTGTTGGCAAGAGAAATAATTTGCTGTTGGAAAGAATATAAAATTCTAATGCAAATGGTTTAGAGAAACACAGCATTTATAACTTACTAAAGAAAAAAAGTTTGCCATTCTTCGTTCTTCCCTTATCCAAGGCAGTATACCAAGAGGGTTACAGCGATAAAAAAAGTTTCGACCGATGTTTACGGTAAAATGGCTGCTAGCTACATAGCTTTTCTAAAATTAAAACGTGAAACTCAATGTTTATTCCCAACAATGACCTCAAACATTTCTTAAGCAACTGTTTCAAAAACCGAGCAAAGATTCGAGCTGAATTTAAAAGTTACAGCGATAGTTATTTAGATAAGACATTTAAGTAAAGCTGACAGCTTGTGCAACGTCATTCGAGTAAAGATTACTAAATAAATCAATTATATATTTAAACTACAACTATTACTTAAGAGAAACTTGTAAATAAAGTCTTCATACTGAAAAGCACTTTAACAACATGTTATACCTTTTCGTTATATTTCATTATGAAAAAAACCAATTTCTTTTTGTTTGAACATTCTCTTCGGCAATTAACAAACTCTAAGGACGAAGTTCCAATACTGTAGGTTCATACTTGAAGTACATCAACATCATTTAACATTAGTTTTCGTACCTACCTTCGTAAAGCGCTCAAGTTACGTCTGCTACCTGACTTAAAAAAAAAACTATATTAATTACTAGAGCCACTTTGCCCACCTCATAATTTTTCGTACCCCTCTCCAGCCCCCTCCATCAGGCTATTCACCATAATTTAATTATGTCTAAAAAATTTTAATTTACATTTAGTTGTTTTTATTTAGTCTTTCACATATTTGATTAACATATTTAGTAAAATACAATAGATGTGATGATTACAAGTATATAAATAAAAATAAATAAAAACATTTTAGTTTGTTTAGTATTAAAAACATTATTAGAAAAAGTAGAAGCAATTAAATAATACTTGTAAGGACTTGCTTATATAATTAACAAGTTCATCTTTCTGTATATATGTAGTTATTACGTTTTCAAGAATTAAATAATTATTGAGGATTTCGCACTAAATGTTAATTTTAAGTTTTAAGACTTTTTAAGTCCCTCATATCCAAATAAATAATATATATAAATAGTATAAAATCGTTTACAATATATAGAATTCCCTTGACCGATTTTGATATACCTTGCTTGATAACTTTTGTATCAGAAAACTCCTAACTTT